GAAATTGTGGTTGCTCATTTTTCTCAAGGGGCCCGCCCGAATTATTGACGAGCTTGGATTAGATGGTTCCTGGAATGCTTCTGTTACATAAGGTGCCTCCTCCATCTGGCTCACGGAAGAAGCAACAGACCTCACAAAACACCATGGAGCAGCGATCCCTTCATTGAAACATCGTTCTGCAGCACATGCAGCCTCTGGCCCTGGCATGTCATCACCGTCGATGCTGCCACCCAAGTCATCTTGCGACCCCCTGACGCACCAAAAGGTTCTGCGTGTTTAGGAAAAGCTTGGCTATCAATGGCTGGCTTGGGCTGCGGCTGGGCTTGCAGTTTTTTTTTCACTGTCACAGATCCTTGCCTGCGGCTTGTGGTGAGGTGCCATGCTCATTACTTCCTCTGACTCCAGCATCACCATTTCTTCAGTGGCTTTGGGTGAGCCAAGATATGCATGTCTTGGAATCCTGACAGATGTACTCACACACCTTTTCTCTCTTTACAAAATGCGACATCTGCAAAGGTTCTCCCAAGGATATCTCGCAAATCGTATGTTGCTGAGCTCGTTGCCCGAAGAGCTCTGGTCTCCATTTCTCTAGGGCCTACGCAACTGTGATCAATATGGACAAGCTGCTCCCCAACACGGGCCCTTTTGTTAGCTCCACCTTCTGCTCTGCAGCTTCCTCCTCCTCGTCGTCATTGCGTCCTGCGCGATGCTCCGTCCGTTTGGAAGCAACATGCTCTGCATCAGTCCTCCAAAGATGCCATTCCCCATCTCGTGAAGTGGAAGGCCTGGTGAAACCGCTCAAGCCCTTTATACAGATTACAAACTGCCACTGCTCATTTCTACAGGCCAGCCTGGGCCAGTTACCTGCTGCAATCATCTGCGCCAGAAGCTCGACAGAAGGTGGCATGTATGAACCAGGAGAGCCGTAAAGTCGGTGTCAAGCATTGCGCAAAAAAGCGAACCCTTGCTTGGACTTAGAAAGCTCTCTTGAGTTTGCTTGGCCCTGAGCACCCTGCTTGAATCTCAACACAGTCTTGGCTTGCCTTGCAACTGTTCCCGCTGCTACTGAGGCGGACCACGAAGATCAGCGCCAGAATGGCATGAAGCAGCAGGGCATCAGTAGAATTGCGACCGCGTGCGCGCATCTCTGAGCAAAAGCCGGTCACTTTTTCGCTGGCAGATGAAGCTTGACCTCCAGGCAATGCCGAAGGACCTGCACTACCTAAACTTGCCCGCCTGATAAGGTATGATTGAGCGCCACTTCCTGAAAACACAGTGCGCAGATACGTGGATGTGTGTTGACATATATTTCGACCCATTGATACTGTCCAATTTCGAGGTAAAATCACCCTTCTTATTCTACTTGGAAGGCACTGCTCCTAGACCTGCAACAGCAAATTGCGCAATGATGCTACGTAAAGCCATCTTTTCTACGCCTACTCCTACCCTTTCTCCTACCCTGCTCCTACCCCCACTGCCACCCCTAATCTGACCAAGATTCCTAGCCCTATTCCTGCCCCCATTCCTGCCACTAGCCTCCAGCTGCTGCTGCGACTGCCACTGCTGGTGCAGCTGTCGAAATGCTCGTTGGAATTTGTTCCAGATCTCTCGAGTCCTGTGTTAATACATTCCTGCGGCTGCCGAGCTCTGCAACTTTATGCATGGCAGACTACCCTTCTGTTCAACAAGGTCTGTGTTGTCTTCAAGTCGGGAGCAAGCAGCATCTTCAGCTGGGCATTCTGCCACTCATTTGCCTGGCCACGACTTGCCATGTGTAACGCACACGGTTCGCAACTGGCTCTCCGGCTCCTTTCTCTCTTCCTTCCTCTACAAGTTGCACAGGAAAACCCTATGGCCGCCCTGTAGGGGCGTAGCCCCCTAGCCCAGAATGTGTCCGGTTGTTCGAGGTCGGTTCTGAAGAGGACCGAACAACTCATGGAAGCGGAAACTGAACAAAACATCAGCATCAACTCCAGATTCCAATGTGGGAACAAAATGCATTTATCTTCTTCTTCTTCTTCTTGTTCTTCTTCTTCTTCTGCTTATTCATGTTTTTCTTTTCTTTCCTCCTTCTTCTATGTGCTATGCGCAATCCCGAAGGGCTGCACCTGTGCTTGGGCCAGAGCACACGCCTGTAACCAGATGGAAAATACCAGACAAAGTCTGCCGATGAAGGCTTGACAGTGGATTCTTACCTCCCCTCCTTCTTGTTTTTTTTTGTTCCTGTCGCCTCTCCATTCCCAGAGTCATTCAACTGTCCGCGCATTTGCGCATTTCAAGCTTCACTGCGGAGGGAAACAAGGGACAGTGTCTCAGCTGCTCCCCTTTTCAAGCTCCCCCGTTGATAGCTCCACTCCTTAACACCGGACCCTGACCCATCCAACGTCGGGCTGGACGATTGGAAAATTTGACCACCTTAAGGCTTACAAGAACTGTTTTCGAACTTGACTCCAGGGCGCATGCTACTTCCTGGTCGGATGCTCGAATTTCGAATTCCATGCTGGGTATTGGGCCTGTCTGGATAAAAACGTCTCGGTGCGCCTAACTCACTTTGCTTGCCCCTCTGATTTGTTCGTGAAATTAGGTGCAAGAGGTGGTGGAATGCCCGAAGAGAATAATAACATTGTGACGTGGAGGGTTTGATAGTCCATCTGACATCTGGCACGGTGACTTTTTATATGATGTTAAATGGAAGCCTTGCGAAAAATCTGCACACAGACACACACATCCTGGGCTTAAACACGCTCTCTCAGACTTCTCAAAACACCCGCAAAACCATGCACCAGCGACCATGAGCAGCCTTCTGGCTACACGTACAACTTGAATGAGCGTATATAGAATGTAATATTTTCAACCCTGCACCCTATAACCCAAAACTCTTGAAACCCTAAAATCCCAAAATCCCTGAAATCCAAAACCCTAAATCCCAAATGCTGAACCCTAGACTCCAAAACCTTTGAAATCCTAGAATCCCAAAATCCCTAAAATCTAAACCCTAAACCCTAGAATGCCAAATACTGAGCCCTAGACTCCAAAACCCCTGAAACCCTAGAACCCTAAAACCGCACCTCGTTTTGCTCGCGCAGTCGAAATCTGGGAGGGAAAGAGAACCCGGGGAGAACCACTAGGGTTGATTCATTCATCACGCTACCCCACGGTCTGGAGCTGAGCATTGCTCAGCCTGCATACAGCTGCTACTGCAGGGGAAATTTGTGGCAAGGCTCCTGGCTGTCTGCGACCATGGCAAAATTTCGCCAATGCTCAGGGTTTGGTTTGAAGTGAGCCCGCCTCCTTGGCTTTTAAAGAGCTATTGGAAGATATATTCGATGAAACATTCGCTTTGATTGTTATTGGTTCATCCCAAAAGGAGCCTGTCTATGAGTCGCCCTATTCGCAAGATGCCTCATGTGATCGGAACTGCTAATATCGAAATCAATGTGGGGATTTGATATCGCGAAAACTTCTTTGCAGGTCTCGATCAGCCAATTTGCCCCTGGTTTGCGTGCCCTCCGTGTGTGCTCAACGCAGTGCACATACGGGCCTTGTTCGAAAAGGACTTGCCTAATCGGATCTCTTGCTGGTGATCTTAAAATGCGTCCTAATAAGGTGATTTCTCGTTCACGCCATGTTTCGGATAGTCTGACATGCTTGTACTTTGTTGTGTCAGTTAAAGTCCTGATTCTTTTTTGGTCTGTCCTCCATGTTCGATCCACGTGTGTGGGTGGTACCTGTAAAACTCGTCGAAGCACTTTCATTTGGAATGCGTCTGTTCTGCACGAGTTAATTGTGTTGTTTCTAAACCGTACAGTAATTTGCCAAAATGACTGGATTCAGGATCCTAACCTTCCATCTTTTGATGGTTCAAACTTTGGACCACAGAGTTTGAAACAATTAGCTATGCCATTAATTTCTCCGATGTTCTTCAGGATTTCTCTGCGATGATCAACAGCATCTGTAAGAGCTGCACGAAGATAAACTGCTTGCATTTTACGAGGTACATACGAACATATACGAACCGTCAAGGAATTACACAAATGACTGACGCTGATTGATGGTTAAGTTAACACGCTTATCCAAACCTAACTGTAGATTGTACTTTTGTGACTCTACTTGTGTCTCATGTAGGAGCTTGTCAATTTGCTGAATGCGCATGCCAAAAATCCGCATGTCATCAGCATACATGACTTCAGCGAATTGTAACCCTGGAATAGGTTGTTTCTGCTTAGGCGCGCTTTGTTCAGTCTTAGTGCTGGAAGATAGAAGATAGCGGAACGCCGAAGAAGTATGGGCTGAGTGGGCATCCTTGTCGGATTCCAGCTGTTTGAGCCTTGTAGCCTGATTTGTTTTCGCCCTTGACAACCCTAAACTGTGCATTCTGTTACTTGTTCCTGATTGTCTGCAATATGTTTGCCGGCGTTCGTAAGCGTTGCAAGACTTCAATTACTCGGTCCTGGTCGACTTTGTCGAATGCTTTTTGCCAATCTAAGCATACAAGTGTAACGGTTTTGCCCTGTTTTTTGCCATGCCCATTAGTCTTCTAGCAATGGATATGGCTTGCACGGTTGATTTCTTAGCGCGAAATCCAAACTGAGTCTTGGAAATCCATGGATCGACTCAACGCACACAAGCGTGCTTACAACCACATACCAGTATGACAGCTATGTCTGCTCCCGGGCTTGCTCACTTCTGCCCTCCTCCTCTTCTTCTCATTATTCTCGATATGCTTATTCTTATCGTTCTTAGAGCTTCGCGCGCCCCTCCTACGAGTAACAGAAGCGCGAGGGGCTGAGCGCCCTAAGTCCCGTTCCCCTTCCTCTTCTTCTTGCTCTTCCTCTTCTTCTTTTTTCCTTCTTCTTGTTGCCATGCTATGCGCCCCATCAAGGGTAAGGCAACGGAACACAGCTCCCGTTCTCTGTGCTGGATACTGGAATGCCTTTGGCTTTTCTTCCACTGCGTCTCGAAGGTCCGCTTGCATCTTTGGAGACCTGACACGCATGCAATCAACAAACAATCGTCAGCGGCTCAGGGAGCTCAAAACGGCACTGCCAGAGCACAACAGCCTCCACTTGGGCTGTTGATGGGCCCTGCTTTCGGAAGTCTTCTGTGGTGATCGCCCTGAGATTGCGCTATGGATTGTGGGGTGTAGCTGTCATTGATGTTGAGGGCAACACCCTTGAGGACCACGAAGCAAATGTTTGTCCCTCTTGCGCATCTTCTTCCTGCGGTGCAATACCATTGATGCACTCGAGCAAAGCTAAAGCCTTAAAACGCCCACTCCCTCAACATGGCAGCACCACTTGAATTCTGACCGTTCCCGCTTTGGAAGCCATCTGCCAAGGCAACGACTTTGCAGCAAGGTGAGCAAGTCAACGACAGCAGCTCTCAGACTGGCCTTTCAGGATCTGGAGGGGGTCCGGGATTTTCTGGATCAAAGCCTTTTGGATAACGGATCTTCCGCCTTCCGCAGGTGTAGCGAGCAAGATAGTACGGACCTATCTTTTGACTCCCCGAGTTTGCGGCTTCCGCTTCTTCTTCACTTTGACAGGCTTGCCATCGGCCTTTTCCAACAGACAGGTAGCGCTATTAAGTTGCCACCGCACCTCGCTTCCAACTTGCTACCTCCTCTTCCCGATCGCGTCGACGCTGCGAGAACCTGACCACCGCTTGGAAGTCCATCCCAACTCAGGCATGTAGCCCAGCAAGTCCCGAAGGCCCATTCTTTTGTCAGTCTGACTGGATATGGTCGGATGTACTTGGTTGCTGCAAGCCTGGGACACGGCCAGAGAAATTCCTAAGCTTCTTAGGAGCTGTGTGGCAAAAGGCGGTCCCGTCGCAATTAGCTCCCTGCTCCATCCCAGCCTAGTACAACCCGGTTCTTTGACCTGCTGTGCATTTCCAACCCATCTCGGAACGTCCCTGCGAACGGTGATCCAAACTCATCCGAAACTCGTGCGGGTGCCCTCATGATGAAGCGACGCGATCCCAAAGGCTGTGGCATTGCACCAACTTTGGGTATAGGTTGCGCTTCCAGCTCCTGTGCAGCAATTCACTCGTCTTCACAGATCTGAAAACCTAAGGTCCTCCGCGTCCAGGTGATCAAAAGATGGTACCTGCAACCGTTCGGCATACCTGCCATCAAATCTCGCATCTCACGCATCTCGGACAGTGGCTGCCGTAACATGCAGGTGTCTTAGCATGAGCGGCATCAGCGGAATCACGCCGGCCAAGAGTGATGATGGTGGTGGTGGTGG